ACGCTTAGGAATTTCCAACAAGATTGACAGCTAGATTGGCGAACAACTGAAAATCGTTTGCGAAGTGGCGCAAGGCTACAAATGGATTGAATGACTGTCTTTAAAATGCAGCCAAAATAATAAATCTTTATTATAATTTTGTGCCGGGTTAGATATTCTCTAAGCAATCGTTCTTCAGTCGACACAGTTAATCCGCCTTAGAGAGTAACAGAATGCAGGAAAAACGCAGTTGTGATTGACCAATGCATTAATAATTACCATACTGCCAATTTTATTTAACCGAAATGTTTTTAAACTTACATTTTCAAAAACCGACATGTAACTAAGATTTAGAAAGACAGAAATTGAACGGAAAATTAGAATAAAGGTCTGAATAATCTGCCGGAATCACATTCTCCTCTAAAATTTTTATCTTTACCGTTAATCAGCAAACTTTATTACCTCACTCTGTGTTAACAAACTTTCAGTCAGTCTTTTTTCATAGCACATTAACCTTTTTTCAAAGTTCCGACTATATAGCCAATTTCATATGACTAGGTTGCTAAGTTTTATCTTTTTGTTGTCTGTATTTTAAATTGCTGTTAGTAAGCGGCTTTGGAAACTACAAACAAATCTTCTAAGTTATAAGAAAAATAAGGCTGAAAAATGCACTATTAATGCATGTGTTTCGCTACATTTCCTTTCTTTAAAAATACCCAAATATTACATTTTTTGATTCACTTATTCTATATTCAACTTTAGAAAACTTTTGGCAAACATACTGCATTTTATATAGGAAAGTCTATTAATACTTTTTTATTGATCGTACAAGGTAGAATTAAAAAGACACCAATAAAGTAAAGTTAAAAAAATCAAAAAGGTTATACAAGATTTTGAACTGGCTTTTATTCCAAAAACGCAAAATTTTTGGCTGTCGCGTTCCACTCATTGTATCAGAAGTTCAGTTGAGAAAATGCGAAAATGATATTTGAAAAAGTTGTTTTTTGCGCGAGCTAAAGATTAAGGTAACAACAGCTAACATATTGAATCAAGAACAAAAAAAAACTGAAGAATTAAACAGTACTAAATAAAACTCAAGTATGCTCTAGCTGTGCGTCATTGTTGATTAACAAAAAGTTGCATTTATAATGATGAATCAATTTGAATCGTGACGGTAGTTTAATTTGCTGTGAAAGTTACTCTAATTCAAATCGTTTTTTCAATATTATTTTATGTTAAAATTTTTTATTAGCAAGATTACTTAGTCATAAATAATTTCCGAATAAAGAGTCGTTTCAGAAGCCTGTTTCCAAAAATTGATTCACAGACTGTGGAGACAATAAAAAAATAATCTCCCACTAGCCTGGTTCTTGATGGCAAGTGATGATTCGAAGACCACATCTCAAACTTCCGATCTTCTACAAGTGCGAACTCAGGCGTCTCTAAAAAGAAGCTCTGAAAAAAACAGTTCAAAATTCGATTACTCCTTCTGAGAAAGTTTTGCGTGTCAAAAATTTATACTCTT